TAAAACGGGGTTATTATAACAAGTATAAATACTGGCCATTGTTGGGAGGTCTACTGTAACAGTATTAAAATATTAATAACTTAAGTGACAAGTTTGAAATATAATTTTTAAGTTGTAAGTCTTACCAGGTACGTATATTACCATACTTTGTGTTTTATATTCATGTTGACGAAAACTTTAATTGTTTTAGGATGAAAATTGAGTAACGTCAACGATATCTCGATTCTATCACAAGCGGACGACGGTCTTCTTTCATTTAATAAGCGTCTGCTAACGCAGATGTCAAAAAAATGTTTAATTCTGATGAAATCCTATCTTAAGGGGCCTATAAAATCTTATACAGATAGAATATTGATTCAATGGTAATATTAAATAAATTTGATAATACTTACAACCAGTAAGAATACAAAAAAAAGTTTGAAACAATTACTTCCTTGAACGATCAAAGTTTCCCAATGAATCAGAGTTATTCGGATGCATGTCATGTGATTTATCACATGACAGATACGTTTAAGTTTTATCTTTATTGCAGGTCTCAATGTAAATGGCTCGTTGGTCTAGGGGTATGATTCTCGCTTAGGGTGCGAGAGGTCCCGGGTTCAAATCCCGGACGAGCCCAACTTTTTATAATGTTTTTAAAGAGAAATAGCAAGTAATATCCATACTCATGAACTTATGTAATGATTTTACAGTATTGATAATACTATTGTCATCTTTTGTCACCATTACAAATGTTAGAATTTCACTTAGCGGGGAGTCATTTTATTTACTTTTATTTACATTGTCTCGTTTTTAAGAAACATATGCATGGTGGGGCTAATGGTGACACTTTTGTGCCCCATCTTCACTTGTTGTCTCTTCTACGGTAAGTATCTCCCATTTGTCCCTAATTCTGTTTTATTACCCTTTCCCCGACCCTCATTTCCCTCTTCCCGACACCCCTTTACTTGTGTAAATGTAGGCCTATTAATTAATCGTTTTCAGTAAAATCCTTGTCGAGTTCTATTATTTCCTATAATGTTTTAACGACCGGTCAATGGAAATGTCAGTTTCACATAAAAGTAAAAAGGAAATTACGACTAATGTTGCGACAACAACAGAAGCTTCAAGACGCAAGCAGTCAAAGGGGGTTACCTTTACAAAAAAAACCAAAACAAACAAAAACAAACAAACAACAAAAACGACAAACTAAACAGACAAAAACAGCAGCAACAAAAGAAAAAAACAATAAATGACCACACACACATACACAAACACGCACACACGCGCGCAAGTACCAACCCATACAGAGTCACATATACAAGAACACAGCACCAACACAGAATCTCATGACAACATACAATATAGCAACTAAAAACGTAAATCAAAGCTCAAAGCAGGGGTGTAAATATGTAATGGATAATATATACATACATATATATGTACAGCTCTGAAATATGTGTAATATATACATTTTCATATACAACGGAGAGAAGTGAGAAGGAAAAAACAGGTATAATTACAGATTATAATACCCTTTTGTGTGTAAAAAACTACGGATTTTAAGCATTATTTACACTAGTTAAATTGCACGAAGGTAAGGGAATATTGCAATGCATTAAGGTATCGACTGTAAAATAAGATAAGAATATACATGTATATATATTATACACTTCTTTACAGATAAATTACATGCATCTATGTATTGCACAAAATAATGACCATTTTGAAAGTTTTCTAAACTTTCATAAATTCCAATCTTGTATACTAACATTTAATGCTATCTCAACGACCACAATCCAACGTGAATAAATTCAACGACAATACATGTGATTTTAAACATTTTATAATAATACAACAAGTTTCATATTTTTCGAGTAAACAGTTTCAGTTTACCGAATGCTCAGAAAGTCAATGTCTGGTAAATAGGCAATTATATTTCAAACTTCATAATTATGTGGGTTAAGTTAATTGTAATGGGACATTTTGGACCATGGACATTTCGGAGCTGACACTTCGAGCTTTTGGACTTTGGGGCCATATTTCGGGACCAGATATTTGGACATTTCAGACCATGCATTTGGCACTTTGGTTTATAACTTGGACAGTTCGGACCATTGTTTGTGACATTCCAGTCCAGATTAAACTATCAATTTTCGTTAAATATATCCCGGGTTTTACCATATAATATAACTACTTTACATTACTTTTCTGACAATGGAAAATAAATAATGAATGTTTTAAAGTTAACCAATTTAATAATTATTCATCAAGAAGGGAGCGTGCAAGAAGGTATGAGACCCATATGTGGCAAAAACATATATGAATTCAAATATGGCGACAAATCATACTACACACATTACAATTTCAAGCATCAAATTTATATTTAATTTGGATATTTCAACCATACAAGGTTTCAAAATTCCCTTTGATCTTGTTATAGTTTGCCTGGTATATTCAACGTTGGTCACAGTGAGAACATAAACTTTCAAACAATTTATTTTAAAGCCCCCGAGTACTAAATATCAAATGTCTATTCAACAATTAAAACGTTTGAAAAATTGTATTGGACAGGAAGCCGGGGTACTTTAAAATACAAACAAGTCATATCGGTCCCAAGTCGAAACGGCCCCAAAAATAGTCATGAAAATCGGCCTCTTAATATGTTAAATCGGCCTCAATGCGTTGTGAAAAAGTCAAATCGGCCCAAAAATGAGTCAAATTGGCCCCCAAATTAGTCAAATCGGTCCCAAAACAAGTAAATTAGCCCTAGAATTACTTTTGCGAAACATCCTATTTGGAGAAAAAAGTTTATTAAGTGAAAATTGCGCTCAAATATAAACGTAGCTTAAGGTCTTCATCGTACCCGTTTATATACTATGACATGACGTGAACATAATGCCGCATCAGGGTGCCGTTTTATCAACGGTCGTACGCCCGGTCGTAGCCAAGATTTGGTCGTACGACCGATCTTACGGCTACGTCGCGTTTTATCAACATGGTCTTAGCTAAGACGTCGTAGATTTACGTCGTAACTTTAAGGCTGCTTCGGATGAAGAACAAAAATGTTAAATAGCGGCTTATAAAGTTTTGGAGGCCAGAAGTAACATAAACGTAGCAATCAAAAATAAGTCATAAGTCACAATGAAATCTTTTCATATAATCTTTTCATATAAATGCCAGTCTGCGTTTTGTAGTAAACTAATTATTTTGTGAGAAACAAACAACTATCATGTGTCTTTAATGCATTGAATCCGGCGATTTTACACAAAAAAAAAAAATACAAAAAAAAATACAAAAAAAATTGATTATTTTCCTATGATTTTAGGTGCGTATAACGGCAGGATGCCGTGTGTTGCTTGTTGTTGTTTTTTGTTTGTTTTATTTAATTATATTAATTAATAATTCAATTATTTTCATTTACATTGTATCGTGTTTCTTATACAATCCTAGCTAAGATTATGCTTTTTCTTTTTAACATTTTTTTCTTTTTAACATTTTTTCATTCACTCACAGGAACGTCGTCTGAAGTTAACGGTGTGAAGATGCTCCGTAGGCCTATATAATTCTCATATAACGATGATTGACGCATTATTGATCTTGAAAAATGTCTTATAATTAAATAAAAAAAAATCTTTTCATTCATAATAAATAAAATAGCATATCATAATCTTTGTTTGATGTTCTATAAATGTATGTATATATATAAACATTCTAGTTTGTGCCTATTTCTTATCTTATCTATATTTACCCATACTTTTTATATTGTTTTTATTTAGACAATGTATTATTTTTATCATTAAAATAATACTGTACGTTATTTTTCTCCCAGGGTCAGGTTAGTTCGAACTGTGACCTTTTCGCATTTCAAATCTACTGTCAAATGACGAAAATAAGGAAAATTTGTGACTTCATTTCTATCGAATTTATAAGAAAAAATTTTCAGATTAATTAAGGTAGGGGAGTAGAATCTACTATACGTCCTTTCCGCGAGAGAATGAGCTTTTCGGTCGCTGGTCTTACCGGTCTTTATCCTAAGGTAAGTGCTGACATCTATGGAACGTGGTACGCATGCGCAATAATCTTTCTTTCCGACCATTGCGATTGAGCACACGTGAGTTTTCACTTTAATGATATTTTCACTAAGATACCTTGTTTAAATAAACCTTCAATAAGTACCGTGTAAAGCCGATCTATCAATTTTGATTTTTTCAATTAATTATGTATGTTGTATTTGAAAGTCGGCCAAAGAATGACTTTGTAGCTATTGCACAACGGTTTGTTGCTTTTGGCCGCCATTTCTCTGCCGGCTCAACCCAAAATATTTTCTATTGTTTCAAGCCATGGCAACAGATGAACAAAGTTTTGTACGTGGTGATTAAGAGATTAATTTATGACAACATGCCTTGAAACACAAACACATGTTGCTATTTATCTCAACGAGAATAAAAGTTTACCATGCAGTTGAGTTCCGAGTTTTATTCATCTCTCATGTCTCTTGACTTGTAAACACTGGACCACGATAACCGATTGGATCTTCATGGTCATTATTAACAGATGGACATCGTAAAAAAACCCATAGTGTGTGATTTTCATCCATTGGATAGTCTTTCTAAAGTTATTTTTCATGTTTTAGGTGGCTTGCCATATTGGGCATTTTGGGGTCAGTCTATTTAATCCAAGACTACTCTGGGACAAAAAAATACACATTTTATTCCTAGGACTCACTTAAGACACTTATTTCTATTATTGTGGTATAAATTGGGAAAGTTTTATTATATATAAACAATGTGACATTATTCACACTAAGTCCGTATTTACATGTCAGCAAAAGTGTCTTGGGGTAGTCTTAGCAGGGCATTCTCCGGCTTTAACAGGGGGCCGATATAAGGCCCCTTTACAATTCAAAATTACACTTTTTTCTCACAAAGCTGCAGAAAAAAATTCACTATTTCATAAGAGATAAATAGTTTTAATCAAGTAAATGGTTTTTGCGCATGTTAACTGGTTTAATGTACTGACTTGAAGCAGATTATACACAGGTCAGAAATTATAATCAACCATTTCTGGTTTCAAAATGTCGCGAAATGCCAAGTAATATAAGTCTTTTTTTCTCACAATTTTATGACATATCGTCCTTTTTTTCACAAAATGAACAGGCCCAGTCCTAATTATAAGACCTATACGTAACCTATTTCATATTTATCATTCATTAATCTGATATTTTACATTTTTCATTTTCCATGTTACGTTAGGTCTTAACAGATCTTGGCAAAATCGTGTAGCAAAAAAATTGACATTAGACATCGATTTAGATCTAATGCATTTTAACAATTAAAACAGCGTGTATTTACATAAATTTTGAACTATTTATGAACAAAACTAAAAATTAAATACCTTTCAACAAAATAATTGAACTGTCACACCCGAAAAGTCATGATTAAATCCTCTCATTTAATTAAATTCCATGTACAGCAGATATACAAATGGCCGCCATACAGTGCGAGAAATCTGATTGGCTAATTCAAATGCAAGCGTTTAAATGACTCCAGAAGTTTCTAACGGAATTTTTTTTCAACGAAATAATTGCCCATGCACCGTCAGTGTGGTCGAAAATATTTTTCCGTTCAAAAAATTGGAATCAATCTGTAAAACGCTTTACTAAACCAGTATGGCCGATGAGCGAAATAGATTGATATTTATATTTTATTTTTAATTAATAAGTACATTGTTTGAAACTTTTTGTTAATGATAGACCATGCAATTGAAAGAACAGAAGATAAGCTTTTGAATAAAGCTAAAAAGGCAAGTCAACAGACATTTTTTTAATTTTTCAAAATGCTACGCGTTTTTGACCAATAACTATTAGACGTCAGGCTTGACCAACATAAATCTATAACAAGCCTGTAACGTCTAATCTTATGGACTAGCCCAGGCCCCTTCACAATTTTGACAAAAAATGCCCTGCTTAGGGTGTCTGGGGGTAGTCTTTGGGGTAAATAGGCCTATTTACAGGTCGGGAAGGGATAGTGATTTTGCTAAATGCTGAGTAATTTTATACAAAATTTTGTTGAGAACTAAAACACTTTTGAGGTAGAGGGATGGCTTGTTAACAAACTTTTTCATTTAAGATAAAAAAATGACTGGTTGACTGGTTTTATGTTATGAAAGGTAATATTTCATATACACATGAGAAGGTTGTCTTGATGCAATACAATTGATGTTAACTTGCAGTCTTGGTCTGATATACAGCATAGGAAAATCCAAGCTACCTCATTCTGACATACAGCTAATTATTTTAACTTCATTGCAACAACCAATGTACGATGTTGCTAATGTATACAATGTCAAGACAACAATTGATGTTCATACAAGAGAAAAAAGAAGATTGGGTGACATTTGTAATGTAATTACTTTGGCCAGTTTGTATCCCCTCTCGAGTCTCTGCCCAGGAGCCTAGCACATCATGCCCCAAGTGTCAGTAAGATTAGTGAGCATAGCACAACAAGGGGATAATGCCAAAGTGCCAGTATAATTTGGTACATCAGGACCTCTAACCAGTTAACAATGCAATATGTTCAGAGCTTTTATCAAATGCGTAATTAATACATATCCTAACAGGGCTTCCACTAGGAATTATTTTTAGGAAGTCAGGACTTCCTTTCAAGGAATTTTGGAAGTCATGAGGTAAATTTCTGGAAGTCAGTTGTTCTTACGCGTATAATTTTCATGTTTCAATGTTTGATTTATAGTATGGGATGATACAAGTAAAAGCAATTATTTTAATCACAAGATTCTGAAAATGTCATTCCTTTAAATGTTTTATTATACATATTTAAAAAGTTCAAAGTATCTTTACATGATTGTTGGGTAAATATTTTCAATAGAAGTAAGAACATTACCCTGAAAAGGACTGTATTGTTGTTATTTAAGGACAGTGGTAACCGTGTAGAACCCTTCAGTGATAACATTCAAATAATTGCTCATTGATATAACAGAAAAAATAATATTTCCAGAAACTTTTAATTCTTTAATCAATCATGGTACAAGTAGATTCTGAAATGTGTATGATGGGTTCTTCTTTTTCTACCTCTGCATCAGTACCATACAGCTGTGATCAGCCTGCACAGCATTTTTGTGGTCCTTGGATTCATTGTGTTTTAAAAGGGTGGATCTCTGTAGATTTCCTGAAATAAAAAAAAACATGACATCCTTTAGCATTGTTATATTTCTTATTTGTAAAATAAAAATTGTTGTTTAAATATCTCTTGTGTTTAAAATTATTTACTACAGTACCGAACACAATTTCAGTGTATCAAATGAATCATAACACATTAACAACCGAAAATGGTTAAATTTAATCAGGCTTATAAATTGAAAGTTTTATGAAAGTAATTTCGAACACCGTTCTTGACCAAATTAATTTTTTAATTACGTTTTTGAGATACGCCAAATTGCAGAAGTGAGCATTGAGACATTTTGAGAGTGGGTAGGGAAAAAGATTTTTAAATGTAACTTTGCTTCTCATAATAATTTCGTATTCGTAATTAGCGAGTGAAAAAAAAATCAAATCAAATCAACATCGATAGAATGTGTGAAAATAAAACGTCTTTAACTTCAAAAAGGAAAAAAAATCAAAAGACAAAAACACGCTTCGCCGACTCGGCAAACTTTCGGATACATTCAAAACTTACCGATGCACACAATAAAGAATAAATCATTTTATCTAATTAAAGTAATTAAAAACAGATACCTACCACAGTTTACGTCAATTAACTATCCATTATCCGTACAAAACAAACAATTAATCCAATCACTTTGTTTTCACGCTTATCAAGGTCATAAATCAACACTCGCTAATTCGTCACGAGCCAGGTGCATTCGCATAATTTCCCCCATCGCTGTCATGTCATGTCAACCATTCAATTCAGGGGGCGGAGTTAAATAAATAATCCAATCGTACGCCAGGAAAGTGAGAAAATGTCGGACAATGGTCGTGGCGTACGTCACGGCTTACGATTTTCGCCGTATTCCTAAATTTTTGGAAGTCAGCGGTACGTCATTGATCTTAATTTTCGGCGTACAGATACGATTTTCGGGCGTAATTTACGGCTGTACGCCCGTTAACGGAAGCCCTGTCCTAAAACAGAAGCTGTATGTCTGGTTTTTAGCTCACCTGTCACAAAGTGACAGGGTGAGCTTTTGTGATCGCTTTTCGTCCGGCGTCCGCACGGCCGTAAACTTTTACTTTAAATGACATCTCCTCATAAACCACTAAGCCAATTTCATCCAAACTTCACAGGAATGTTCCTTTGGTGGTCACCTTTAAAAATTGTTCAAAGAATTTAATTCCATGCAAAACTCTGGTTGCCATGGCAACCAAAAGAAAAAACTTAAAAAATCTTCTTTTAAAGAACTCAAAGAGCTAGAGCTTAGATATTTGGCATGAAACATCTTCTAGTGAGTGTCTACCAAGTTTGTTCAAATAAAAGCCCAGGGGTCAAAATTGGCCCTGCCCCGGGGGGTCATTGATTTTCCCTATATGCATATAGTAAAAACTTAAAAAATCATCTTTTAAAGAACCCAAAGAGCTAGAGCTAAGATATTTAGCATGAAACATGTTCTAATGGGTGTCTACCAAGTTTGTTCAAATAAAAGCCCTGGGGTCAAAATCGATTGATTTTCCCTATATGCATATAGTAAAAACTTAAAAAATCTTCTTTTAAAGAACTCAAAGAGCTATGGCCAAGATATTGAGCATCAATCATGTTCTTATAGGTGTCTACCAAGTTTGTTCAAATACAAGCCCAGGGGTCAAAATTGGCCCCGCCCGGGGGTCATTGATTTTCTTTATATGTGTTTAGCAAAAACTTAAAATCTTCTTTGAAAAAACCCAAATAGCTAGAGTTTAGATATTAAGCATGAAACATCTTCTAGTAAGTGTCTACAAAGTTTGTTCAAATAAAAGCCCTGGGGTCAAAACTAGCCCGGTCCCAGGGGTGTCATTGTTTTTAACTATATTTGTATAGTAAAAACTAAAAAAATTCTTCTTTTGAAAAGCCCAATGAGCTAGAGCTTAAATGTTTAGCATGAAACATCTTCTTATGGGTGTCTACCAAGTTTGTGCAAATAAAAGCCCTTGGGTTAAATTGGCTCTGCAACGTTGGGGGATGGGAGTTTGGGGGGCCTATATACAGGTGAGCGACCTCAGGGCCATCATGGCTCTCTTGTTAACTGAATGATATAAAGAATTCTAGAAGCAGTCTGTTACATCAGCAAATTTCTGCTGGTCCTACTGCACTTTGTAGTCCTCCTGCCCCTAGCTCTGCAAATATTAGCAGACCAGTGGAATTCTCGATCCCTGTGTCTGAACAAAATAACCAAAATTACCTTTCATGTGTATTTATAGGTTGTCAAAATGGCAGATGAAGAATTTCAAAGTGGTGAATCTGGGGCATCCCAGACCTACCCACAGCAATGTTCTGCTCTTCGCAAAAATGGTTTTGTTGTGATAAAAGATAAACCATGTAAGATTGTGGAAATGTCAACATCAAAGACTGGCAAACATGGACATGCTAAGGTAAATTCACATTAAACTTTCCGATGTTATACATTCCCTCTATTAATTAAATTTATCAGCTTGATTTTTATAGTAGCCACAGCATATAGGGATCACTTCTCCCTCATCTGGCACAAAACTTGTCTGGGCTATTCAAAAATGAAATGAAATATATTTCAGGTAAGTACAGTTCTAATTTAAGTTGTTAATATCACTGACATCTTCCAGTTCTATTATTTATGTCAGATTTATGGCCCTTCAATAATTTTTGTCTCGACTACTAATCAGTATTCATGAAAATGTTGACCAGTTCTTTTATGTATATTACAGGTGCATTTAGTAGGAATTGATATATTTACTGGCAAGAAATACGAAGATATATGTCCATCTACACATAACATGAATGTACCAAATGTGAACCGCAAGGAATACCAGGTAAAGTATTAAAAAATAAAGACTTTGAAATGGCAAGAAATATAAAAATGTGGTATTTTTATGTCCCGGAGGCATTTAGTAATTGAACCATCTGTCCGTATGACGTTTACCTAAGAGGGAAGTTGGATTATTCTCAAGTTCTACGGGTACCAATGATTTTATAATTTACACACTAATCAATACAAAGTACATAATCTGGGTAACTATAACTCCCATTTTTGTGCCCCCTTTTTGTGTCACATGTGGGTCAAAAAGTAATTGACCTAGAGTCATGAAACCTTACTGGAATGTTGATCAGCATGTGAAGTTGTGCACCTGGGTTTTTTTATGTAGATATATTTAGCATTTTTAGTTATTGCCCTTGACTTGGTAAAAATTTGCAATGTTCAACTTGTGACGCACGTAATTAAAAAAATATTTGACCTAGAGTCGTGAAACTTGACCGGAATGTTGATCAGCATGTGTAGTTGTGTACCTGGGTATTTTTGTGTTCAGCTTGTGTCAGTGTCACACATAACTAAAAAATTATTTGACCTAGAGTCATGAAACCTTACAAGATTGTTGCTCAGCATGTGTAGTTATGCACTTGGATATTTTTGTGTGGAAATTTCTAGTATTTTTGAGTAATTGTCCTTGACTTAGTAAAAATTTCGAATTTTCAACTTGTGTCGCATGTAACTCAAAAAATATTTGACATATAGTCATGAAACCTTACAGGAATGTTGATCAGCATGTGAAGTTGTGCACCTGGGTATTTTCATGTGGATATATTTAGCATTTTTAGAGTTATTGCCCGTGAATTTGTAAAAATTTCCAATTTTCAATTTGTGTCTCACGTAACTAAAAAAGTATTTGACATAGACTCGTGAAATTTACAGGAATGTTGCTCAGCATGTGTAGTTGTGCACCTGGGTATTTCGTGTGGATATTATAAGTACTTTCAGAGTTATTGCCCTTGACTTGGTAAAAATTTACAATATTTAACTTGTGTTGCAGGTAATTCAAAACGTTTGACCTGTAGGGTTTACAGGAATGTTGGTCAGGATGTGTACTTAAGCACCTTTGGGTTTTCTTGTGGATTTATTCTGACAGGCTGTCCAGGGTCCCTAAAATTCCTAAAAAATCCTAATTTTTTCCAGTTTGGCTAATTCCAAAAAAAAAATTAAATTTCAAAGGGAACTATTTTTTCACTTAAATTCCTATTTTTTTTATCTTTTGTGATAAACATATCCCGAACAACCATCCATGTTTCAATAACAACCTAAATTCAAACATAGTCGGTGGAGCTGATGTCATGTCTGACTAAATTGCATAAAGTCACATTCTGTATTTACTTCAACTCCTGTAGAAATGCTATACTTGATTCTCAGATGTTATCAGAAAAATAATAAGAAACTGTGAGTTTTAAATGGAACAATGAAAATTGTACGACTTTGACTATATCAAAATAGTCACCTGTTTAAAATTGTGATAAAATTTTTTTCAGGGAAGTTACATATTTATTGGCAACAGAGTTTTACCATTTACCTCAGTCTTAGCAGTGTTCGAAATTAGCAGTAGTCCCATAGCCCCAGACTACTAAATTTCACCTCGGGCTACCAACTTTTCACAGTAACATGCCTGACCAGGCTACTGCATTTTCAGAGGCAATATAAACAACTGTTTTGAACAAATGAATCGTGCTAGTGAAATGTTTTTTGGGCTAGTGAATATTCCAATCTGGTTGTCGACTAGGCTGGTCGATTCAAATCCTAATTTCTTACACTGTCTTAGGTGTATTTAAAGCAACTATTTACATGATGTACCACTAAATTTCATCAGACTTTATGTAGGGGTCCATATTAATAAAATCCTAATTTATAATCAAGTTATTTTCAAGTGATGACTGAAAAACAGATCTTTTGTAAGTGATATCAGCATATCTAGACAAGTTTCCATATTTGCTGATTATAAAGTGGGTATGGTAAACTGACAGTAATTATTGGATGCTTTAACCATTTTGCTACCCAATTAGCGTACTAGCGTACTAAGAAGTGACACTTTCAACTGCCCTTTTTGTTCACATTCACATGTACTGAACATGTTATAACATATAGTGTAAGTTTTTTAAAATTTGAAAAGAGTTTGAAGGTTAACATTAGTTTCCAAAATGTAACATTGTCATGCATAGAAGGATTTTAAATAACTTGGCATAAATGTCTACCACATCAAGATGATGTGTCGCATCCAAGACCCTTGTCCAAAGGTGTTTTGTTTGCTATAAATAGCACTTTATTTCACAGGAACAATAATAAGCAATAAGTTACTTTCAGTCTCTTTTCTTTTCATAATACCTGTATACTTCAGAAACCTTTTCGGGGGCATTGTCACTTGTGTGACAGCTCTTGTTTTGTTAAATACTTCAACTTTCACTTCACTATTTTCAGGTGATTGACGTTACTGATGATGGTTTTGTTAGTCTGATGCTTGATTCTGGAGACACACGTGATGACCTTAAGGTTCCTGACAGCGATGTTGGCAAAGAACTAAAAGAAAAATTTTCCAACGATAGTAACCTCCTAGTATGTACTTAATGCTCAATAAACATGTTTATCTAAACAAAATTTTAGCTCACCTTGTATTTCAGCCATTCACCTGAGCACTTGATGCTTGTGATAATCTAAGTGAATAAAAAACAAATTATAGTCTTGATGCTAGGTTTTATTATGTTGCTTTGAAAAAGTTGACATACAGGGGTTACTTTTGTCTGTAGTGTCAGTCTCAGAGACGTCTGCAGCGATGTCAGGAGCATAACTCAGTCACTTAAAGGGGATTAACTCCAAATTTATTCAGTATTTCTAGAGTAATTGTCTTAGTGAAAATTTGCAATTTTCAACTTGTGTTGTGTGTAGGTCAAAAAGTATTTCACCTAGAGTCATGAAACTTTACAGAAATGTTGGTCAGCATGTGTAAAACTTAAAAAATCCTCTTAAAAACCCCAAAGACCTAGAGCTTAGATATTTATTCTGAAACATCTACCAATGGGTGTCTACCAAGTTTGTTCAAATAAAAGACCTTGGGTTTAAAATGGCCCCGGGGGGCTTATATACAGGTGAGATTCAGGGCCATCATGGCCCTCTTGTTTCAGTTTTGTTAGAGTTATAGCCATTTACTTAGTATAAATTTGAACTTTTCAACTTGTTCATACTCAAAAGGAAAGTCTTGAAAGTTTACAAGAATTGCTCCATAATAGTTGAATTTTATTTATTGCAAAAAATTGGTTTGTATAAGAACGCTTTACCCAAGTGTTTGACTTCAGAAATAGGAAAGTTGATGAGTGGGGATTAACTTTAAAGCAGCACGCCTTCAGATTCATATTATTTTCATGAAAATTTTAGAAATGTATTAAATTGTAAAATATTGTGAAGTGAACAAATAAAGTAATTAACGTATGAAATGCATGAAAATTACCAAAATATCATCAACATATGCAAAAACAGCCCTTCTGCTTTAGTAATGCAGTAGAAATATGGAAATAAAATACTGCAAAATCAGTCTTAAACCGCAAATGAAATGTAATATAAAACCTAGATCTTGAATATTTTTTCCTTTCTTTAAAGTTTAGTACATTTTTCTAAATATTGATTTTCTTGAAATATTTTGGCTCATCTGGAGGCGTGCAGCTTTAAGTATTTATGAAAATTTGAAACCAACTGTAAACAGATGAATGTTGCCACTGTATGCATTGTTATGCCCCCATTTCGAAGAAAAGGGGGTATATTGCTTTGCACTTGTCGGTCCGTAGACCAAATGGTTTCCGAGTGATAACTAAAGAACCCTTAGGCCTAGGAACTTCAAACTTGGTATGGTGATTGGTCATGACCAGTAGATGACCCCTATTGATTTTGGGGTCAAGGGTCAAAGGTCAAGGTCACATTGACCTCTGAGGTAAAAACGGTTTCCGATCAATAACTAAAGAACCCTTAGGCCTAGGAACTTCAAACTTGGTATGGTGATTGGTCATGACCAGCAGATGACCCCTATTGATTTTGGGGTTAAGGGGTTAAAGGGCAAGGTCACATTGACCTTGTAGGTAAAAATGCTTTCCGATCAATAACTTAAGAACCCTTATGCCTAGGAACTTCAAACTTGGTATGGTGATTGGTCATGACCAGCAGATGACCTATTGATTTTGGGGTCAAGGGTCAAAGGTCAAGGTCACATTGACCTTGTAGGTAAAAACGGTTTCTGATCAATTTACTAAAAACGCCTAGGCCTAGGAACTTCAAACTTTGTATGATGATTGGTCGTGACCAGCAGATGACCCCTATTGAGTTTTGGGTCAAGGGGTCAAAGGTCAAGGTCATGACCAGTAGATACTTTATAACCCTTATTAATTGTTTGATCACTGGTCAGAAGTCATGCATAATAACCTTATCACATGATTAATTGGCTGCTGATAGGGGGCATACATGTTTACAAACATATCTTGTTTTTGTTAGTTTCTCTCTCTATATATATGATTTTGTTTATTTTCAGGCAACAGTCCTGTCAGCCATGGGTGAAGAAGTTATTGTATCTGTTAAAACCAATGAGAAGTAATTACTAGCTTAACGTCTTCATATATTGGACAATGACTAGAATAAGAAATTACCCAATTGTCTTCTTGGAAAGTATAGGATACTGGATTGATAATCAATCACATTTCAACTGATTTGGATTTATGGCTGGTTAATATTATATTACAAAGTGCTATTTTTGATTTATTTTTTTCATTGGAGTCCTAAGAGTCATTAATTGTTTTAAAAAAAATGTTTATTTGTTACCAACAAACGAGCAATAGTGCTAACTTCATGATGGCCGGGGAGAATACAGATAGAATGACGGCTGCGAACTTGTGATACACATACGAGTAAATGACAATATTTTATTTTTTACGATAGCCTGTTCTAACTGTGAAAAGTATATACAATTATTAGGGGGAATAAGAAAGAACAAACTACAGCTCTCTACTGTATTAAGCAAAAAGTTTTTAAAATTTGAATATAAAACTATTAAAAAAGAATACTAAATAAATATTCCTCTGGTTTGTTTGGACTCTTATTGTAGCTAGTGTGAGTACTTGAAAATTTAACAAAGACGTACAACATGATTAATGCAAACTATTTTCTTGTATTACTCTCCTACTTTTCAGTTAAGTATACTCCAAAATATGTTTTATTTAAATCTTAAAATTGGATGTTGTAAATTATATAACGATTTTTTTTGCCATTTATGCATTTCAATTTACAAATACTCTTGAAGTCTGTTGTTTTTATCTATTTTTCAGTTATTTATTGATAAAAAGGTCTTGAAAAGTTGACTTATTAACTAATTGATGAAATTATATATTGATTTTACGTTTAATGCCTTTACAAATGATTCTAACATCTAGTGAATAAACATTACATGAAAGCATGTGTATCTATATATAATTGAAGAATTTGATTAATATTACTGAAATATTTATAAGGCATAAGGTTGTAGTAAATATGCCTTTTAAATAAGTTTGATGAATTTAGAAAGAATTTTAACCAAGTTCAACCCATCCTAAATTTCTGAAATAAACTTATCCAGTGTCCATTTTGGGTATACTGAATTTATGAGAATATGAAGGTAGCACACAGTATAGAGGTAGGTCAGGATGCACCAAGTGTGTAAGCTGGCCTAACTACAAACTAGTTTTCTTTTCTGTTTTGTCTTCTGTTACTGTAAACACTATAACATTATCTCTTCTGAGTGATCTTAAGTTTGATTTTGAGAATGGAAGGACTTGTTTGTAAGAAGAACACAAGACTTGTTGCAATTGGTTCTTGTATTTTCTTAATTCCAGGGATATATGCAAGCTTTGTTAATGTGCTCATGAAGTGTTAAATCATTAGCTATTTACAAAATTGAGCCGCGCCATGACAAAACCAACGTAATGCATTTGCGACCAGCATAGATCCAGACCAGGCTGTCAGATCAGGATCCATGCTGTTCACTTACAAAGCCTATAACAAGTAGAGAAACTGATAGCAAACAGTATGGATCCTGATCTTGGTCCATGCTAGTCGCAAACCCATTATGTTGGTTTTGTCATGGTGCATCTCAAATGTTCATAAAGTAATCTTAATTAAGCCATTGATTGCTTTTGATTTACACATGAATGTTGTGTTGATTTAAGGTGTATAAACTGTCATAATGACTTGTATGTACTGCAGGGGTTCTTTTCCTATATATGACAAAAGCATCTCCAAATAAGAAATATAAAATCGCTTAATCCTGCATTGTTTTCCGAGAATTACAAAGCATTCCGTACTTTCCCTCGGCTGAAACTTTAGCTGCTTGTCCTAGGCTAATATGGAAGGGACTTGTTGGTGCTCTTTTAATCTTGTAAGGAAGAGAAATCCTGCAATGCACAATTAATATAAGAGACCAAAAAAACTGCTTTTAAGAATTGAAACATTAAACTGTGTACATTAAATTTGAGAAAAAAATATGTAGGCATGCATTTAATGATTTTTGATGTGATTTAACGAAATTTGTATTTCACTGATTATGATCAAAGGAAATAGTTTTAATTGATTTTAAAAAGATATCTAATAATTATGCAGTAAAGAAAATGAATAAGCTGATTGAAAAAAGTACATTTTTGTAATTACAATTGAGTTGCCTTATATATTTTGTTTTTATTTGGAACTGTTTAATACTGTTTTTAAGTAAGTGGTTTGAGTTTCGTCAGAGAAAGGCATATTAGTTCCAGCTCGAACTTTACCTTTATGTGTCCGTAATATGTGGAGATATTACGGACAACTTTGGAAATAGTCCTTGTATGTTGTTCTTAAACTGCTCAACTTGTTTAGTGTACATGTGTTTTCCAGCTTTGTATTTAGAACAGTCCATTCAAAGTTATAGGGGTTTTACTATGATATTAACAAAGAATGTGCTACCAAAAGCTTAGACCATGGACAGATTGCAAATATGTGCACACTGGTTGTCTGACCCTATTATAGTGACATTTCCTATCACAATTCTAGCAAGTTAACTTAAAATAGTAGTAGATTTATGAATCCAGACAAGAAATAAGCTTATAGATGGCAGTGTGCTTAATGATGTTTTCCCAACATGTAAGCATGATGAAATTCAGCTGGCCAAAAACAGCCCTACAATTAGCTAAAGGTTAATTAATCCTTTCTTCTGAAAATGTCATATGTATTTCTTTAAAATAAGAATCTGGTCAGTTCTTGAAAACATGTCCTAATTCTAGTTATTGAACAAAGTCTATGAAAATGATTTCCATGGGTAAAATCTGTCGAAAAAAGTTGATTTTTAGTAGAACCTGCATAGAACTACTATAAAGTAGAAGCTATACAAATGAAGTGTGTTTTTAAGGAACACTAGCGCTTTATGGCACAAAAATTAGCCTTCGTTATAGAGTATGTACCAACTAAACAACTGTTTAGAGGGTGAGCTTAACTTACTGCATGTGCTGTGAAAAAAAAAGATTGAACAAATTGGTTAGCTGATCAGAAACCGGTGTTCTTGCATAAAAACTACGCACGCAGGTATGCATTAACGGATATATTCTAGTGACCATCCATCGTTGTTGCACGATTTTTAATATGCATGACTCGGACCGCATTGAGAGTCACAGTAGTTTTATCATCAATTAACACGTGGAAAGCATGGCACAAGCAAGAGTTATTTATACGAAATACAGATAACGTACGTGGAATTACCGATTTCTACGTATACTTTAATGCAAGAATAGCGCTAATGTACCCTTTTTTCGTGCATAAACATTTACAGAAGTCTTTGGGCTTTCTAAATTACATTTCGCCCCGGGTCAAGCATATTAAAAACGTTTCTGCAGATGTTAATGTACGAAAAAATGTGTATTAACTCCTATCATGTACTGGTATTGCACGAAGGTCAACTACTCTAGAACCATATTTATATAGGGCTCGAATACAGATTAGAACCGGTTTTAAAGCATATTAGAGCTAAAACTTTGGAAGGGAGCAGATATTTTACATGAAAGAAAAACTACCCTATATGGCATTTATTAATTATCGCAAGCCCTATTCTTGATAATTATGAAAACTGCCAACTACACAAAATTTTCTGTTTGATCTACAGTATGTCCTAATAATACTTGAGCGGTGTCTTACAATGGTACATCTGCAATATAAGCCAATATTAGTTCATAGTTTCATTGATTGAATTGGAAAAAAAATCTGGAAGAAGGGTGATCCCTCGGTAGCATTGACTACAACAAAATATATTGCATGAAAGTTGCAGACTAGGTTTGATCGAGTCTATACATAAGAGGTAATAAAATGACCAACATACTTCATGCCCCCTATAGCACCGGCTTGAGCGGTACTCAATTTTCCAACAAGTGTTAACTCGATGATCCGAAGGAGCAGGAAAAAAACAACGCTGCGGAAAGTCGCAACCATCTGCGTTGAGTGATAATAGGGTCATGGTGGGTACTTGATAGTTATGGTTGTTGCCTTTCGGAATCACTCGTCATTGATGACAACTTTTTTTATATGAGGAAGCTTTAAAGCTGCCAGCTGTTGCCTGAAAACTCTTCGCATGCGTAACTACCAGGTCAGATTACTGTATTGTACACGGCCAGTGATTGACTGCAAAGAGCAGAGAAACCCTTAAGATTCATTGGGACATCAGGTAATTTTACATTTGGATATTTGCATTCAAAAAAGAAGATGTCAGTTCCGTGATCGTTAGAATAATTCAGTTAGAATGGTGGGTAATCATCTTTGGAAACATTTTGGTCGGTCAACCATATAATTATAACAATTTCATTCATTTGGATGCGTCGGGCATCTCAGTCTAGAAAAATCACATATTTAGCATGACTTCTCAATTTTAAGATACGTTTAAGGGTCATTTCTTATAATGTAGGTCTATGGAGTCACGGATGTAATATAAATCCGTGATGGAGTGTAGTCTGACCATCGATCAATTTGGCCTTTAACGCAGTAGGTTTTTTAGCGCTACAGTACAGCTAGATGCAAGTATATGCACTGTCCGCGCAAGGCGGTGTTTACCAGCGGTTTAAAGAGATCGATTATTCCCAGCTCAGCAGCTTTTCGGCCCTATCCATAAGTACAATAGATAATAGCCGAGGACGTTCCGATTGTCGCCTCAGGTGTCATGCGACTTAAATGTATATTCAAAGGGGAAACCCAATTTCGGTATTTCACAACCAGTTGAAATTATCGACGAATTGCGCAAGTGATTTGTAACCGTATTGAATATAAATCTGTCGATATCAATTTGTTCATTACAGTAGCGAAATACTTTGTATATGCGCCACATATTCCCTTTTCTTGGATTAACAGAAATTCTATGAAAAATGAAGAAGAATCTACGAGCAGCAAAGAACTTCACAAATAGACTAGTAAGCGAGCTATTTTTACTTATTTTTTCAACAAATGCAGTTTAAAAATTCGAAATTTGTGACACAATTCAGCTCCAAATTGATACCTGCTTACCAAGGTAACTTGTCTCTTCCTGTCAAAACATGATAGTAGCATGGAAGCTAAAATACTAAAAATAGCTACCTTCGTTACAAAAATAAATAAATGAACTTCATAATAAAAATTTCGACAATTGATTTGCATCTTCAGATATTCAGCCAGTGTCTGAAAAGAGATCGATGTGCTGTTGTAACTAATTGATTTTAATTAATGTTTCCGAGTTGAACTTCCTTCAGGGCCTGTGCATTGCTTTAGTTTACATATAGTTTTATAAAAGTGGACTAAGTTAATCTTGGAGAACAATATCTTTTTACGGTTGCAGCTCAAATAAATGACGTGTAGCTAAGTGTTTATTACATACATATTTAGATTCTTTAACCTACTTTTACTGAGGTATTATTAATAAATTTTCAGATAAAGGTAATTTAAGAGTCAGCACTAATCATTTGAAACCCTCGTCCTTCGGGACAGTCCTATCGGATGGTAAAATCATCCGTCAATAAGTCATGCGCTGTCCATGGTTTTTTATCCGCTACATTTGGAGACATTCAGCGGAAAGATGAAATTGTGCTCATTTCCCTTTGAAGTTGCCGATGACATGCGAAGCTGTAATCTAACGATGCACTATCAACTCAAGTTTATACATGTGAACGTCATTTTTTTTTAAGTTCTAAAGGCCAACTTTATGTTCCTCTTGCGTGTCTGTAATTTGGAAACAAGTTTGATAGCATACATGTATTTATAACCCACTTCATATGTTATAAAAACAGCGAGGAGTTAAAGACATTTAGTTTTACTTACTTTTGTGTTGTTTTCTTTTGCTTTTGCAAGGCTGACGAAAATACGCCACCGACGTCATTTGATGACGTCATGGCTGAAATGGAGTCTGGTGACGCCGAGATGTCTCTGACCAAACCAGTGAAAGCCTCAGCTCTGCGTAAGAATGGTTACGTGATGCTTCACGGATTTCCATGCAAGATTGTCGATATGCTTACATCAAGGTAGCCTTAATTAAGTTTATACAGTCTACATAGAATCTACTGTACATTATTTTCTTAAAACTGCGTAAGAAAAATGTTCTTTTTTTTTTAGAAATATGACGATAATAGACTGTGTCATGTTTTGCACAATCTTGGATTGTATAACAGATGTATTAGATCTATGCATTTTCTTTTTTTTAACTATTCAGGAATGCATGAAAATGACTTTTGTCTATAATATCTGATTCAGCAACATGTAATGCAGATATTTGATTAACATTCTTTTACAATAGCTGAAGGACGGTTTATAGAAGAATTTATATTAAATTTTCAGGCCAGGGAAGCATGGGCATGCAAAGATTCATTCGTCGGCATTGACCTTGTGACCGGCAAGAAATATGAAGACATCTCGCCAAGCACACATACAATGAAAGTGCCTATCTCCGACCGCAAGGAATATCTGGTATATGCTAACAATTTATATTGGCCGAACTTAAATAAACAAGAGCACCGCTAGGCGGAGCATTATATGCCCGAAAATGATTTTTGTATTTTCTGATCGCAAGATCAGTAAATACATAGCTAACATCCACGGTCTAACACAAAATTTCCTAACAGACCTAACAACGCAAAGTAGTTCTCACTCAAAACTGCTTAAAAACCAGCAATTTAACAGACAGAATAATTTTTAATGTAGGCATTTAACGAATTACAGTGCATTGAAAGTTCAGATTAGTCAATAAAAATATGAGGTTACAATCACAAATTTCGCGGATGAATATCATTTTAATCAATGAAAATGCTATTTTTAGCTATGTCGATTACTGAATACTCCAGGGCGTAGTACACAAATAAATCTGACTGCCGAGTAGTGGAATATATACATGTCGGACTGTTTTGGCGAGAAGATTTTCGCTAAATTATTTTTATCAGTGTTAAACAGGTTTATCGTGAACAAAATACCTCGAAATTGATAAGGATTACAAACACGAAATGGAAATTCTCAATTTAGAATTACAATGTATTTGTTTTTATTCAGGCTACATATTACGTATTACTTCACCGTGGTGCAGGGGTATCGCGCTCGTATCGCTCTCGCTTAGGGTGTGCGAGGCCTAAGGTTCAAATCCTAGTCGGGGCAACTTTTTTTTTTTGAAGTGTCTTTTTTAAGGAAGTAGCCACAATATGCAAGGATAAAGTGTGGCTGTCATAAAAATGATTTTTGATGCAACTCTAGTCATGCAAAATTCCATATGTATCAATCTCAAACTGTTATAGAAAAAAATCTTAACGCAGTCGCTGCGTTAGATGAATTATAGTATATAAAAATAAACTGATATAGGAAAATACATACAGATAGTCAGTATGATTTAGATTGCAAAGATCAGAAAATACCACAGAGCTTGCAGCCCTTTGATTTTTTTAGTAAAGATGAAAGATTTCTAAGACATGGGAATTAAATAAAGTTTTACCTCCTTCACAAAACAATCCTCCTTTTAAGTTTCAATATTGTGGTCCAAATGGAACTTAAGTTATGCCCCGGAAACTGTTTTCAGTTCTAAGGTAATAGTGACCTTGACCTTGTGACCCCGAAATCATTAGGGGTCTTCTACCCAATATGGACAATCATACTACGAAGTTTAAACACAGTGGGCCAAATGAAACTTAAGTTATGTTCCGACAACTGTTTTCAGTTTTAAGGTCATAGTGACCTTGACCTTTGACCTTGTGACCCCAAAATCAATTGGAGTCTTCTACCTAATATGGACAATCATCCCATGAAGTTTGAATATTGTGGGCCAAATTGAACTTAAGTTATGCTAAAGAAACTGTTTTCAATTTCTAAGAAATAGTGACCTTGACCTTTGACCTTGTGACCCCAAAATCAATAGGGGTCTTCACCCCAATATGGACAATCATCCTATGAAGTTTGAACACTGTGGGCCGAATGGAACTTAAGTTATCCTCCGGAAAATGTTTTCAGTTTTAAGGTCATAGTGACCTTGACCTTTGACCTTGTGACCCCCAAAATCAATAGGGGTCTTCCACCCAATATGGACAATCATCCTATGAAGTTTGAACACTGTGGGCCAAATGGAACTTAAGTTATGCTCTGGAAACTGTTTTCAGTTTAAAGGTCATAGTGACCTTGACCTTTGACCCCAAGATCAATAGGGGTCTTCTTACTAATATGGACAATCATCCTATGAAGTTTGAACACTCTGGGCCAAATGGAACTTAAGTTATGCTCCGGAAACTGTTTTCAGTTTTAAGGTCATAGTGACCTTGACCTTTGACCTTGTGACCCCAAAATCAATAGGGGTCTTCTACCCAATATGGACAATCATCCTATGAAGTTTGAATACTGTGGGCAAAATGGAACTTAAGTTATGCTCCGGAAACCAAATTGCTAACGGACGGACGGACGGACAGACAGACGGAGGGACGCCAGGGGGTATAACATAATATGCCCGAAATTCTTTCGGGCATATAAAAATGATCTTTAATGTTGGACAAACTGCCTGAATGTGTTTTTTTTTTGTTCCATAATATTTCAGTAGATAAGAAATATATTTTTATTAACGATACCAACTACTTTCTGTTCTTACTGGGGAGAGTACCATGTCACAGGGATAAGACGCTTTGATCTGATATTATCCCCTACCGCTCCCCCCTCCCCCTCCCTTCAGTCCCTGTCACAACCCCCAAAAATATGATTTAAAGTCAATTTCGACATTTAAGTATTCATAACTACAATAATATGACACTTTTACGCAATTTTGATAACCTCTTTAGTGTTAGTCCCTGGAGGGAAGAGGGGGTAGTGGTAGAGGATAATATCAGATCAATTGGGCTTATCCCTGTGTAACAGCCGTTTATGTACCGGGTCGTTGATTCAGTTAGTTAATATGAGGCTATGTGCAATACTGAATTCTACAGGACGAGGAGTACACAGCTGTCAAACCTATATTGAATGAGGCGGTTTGCGGCTGTGTGAGAGTCCAATAGAATAACTTTTTTTTCTGAACAATGTGTAGTAACCTCTTTCACACCACCATTTTTTAACATTTTGACCGAACTTATTTTTTTACTTCACATACAAAAAGTATTTTCATATGTTTTTTTGTTGAGATGAAATGAAAACGAAACTAGATGGAATTGATATAGATTTTTGGCCTATAAAAATGAAAACGATGCTGTATGGGGTACGATATGCATTTGTTATGGATTCTTTGAACGTTGAAAATGAAAGGAGGCTACATTGTTATTTTTTTAATGCGTTTATTTAAGGTCGCCGTCGGAAAGCCCATATGGGCGACCGTACACTCAAGTCGGGCCATCCTAGAGCGTCCCGCCGAGATTTTGTCGTCGATTTTTTCCCAGCTTTATTGGTGGAGGAAGACCCCAGGTGGCACTCCGGGCATTATTTCAGGCACGAGCGGGCACCTGGGTAGAACCACCAACCTTCCGTAAGCCAGCTGGATGGCTTCCTCACATGAAAGCATTGAAAAAGTTCAAACGTTTATATTTTATAAGGTGTGAAAATAATACAGGTATCTATCATACAGGTGGCTGATATGGGACGTGATGGTATTCTAGCGCTGATGGATGACGGCGGATATGTACGTCATGATATAAGCGTTGATGACGTCGACATCAGGAAAAACATCGCCGATAAACTGGCTAAACAGGAGGACCAAGATGTCATGGTAAATATACTGTTTTATATGATCTTAATTAAGTGTTACATCGAAAAAAAGTTATATTTCATAACATTACGTGACTTTTTACTCGTATCATTGTTATTATGATTATTATAATAATAGATAATAATAATAATAATGATAACAATAATAATAATAATAATAATCATCATCATCATCATCATGTTGTATCAATATGAAGCATTGATGGATAAAATAATCTTTTAAAAAAAAGTTTAAATCATTAAAAAATATTATTAGACATTGCGTAACTGAACTGTTCTTAAGTTTTTGTTCAAACGTGATTCCTCCTTATAGAAAAACCTCAATAACATTGTGTTGACACTTTTATACAATGGATTCCATGACAGATAATTCATTTTTTGTTTGTTTCTTGTACATTCTCTTGTTCACCAATCAACATTTAGATATTAAAACGAAACTGTATTATCCTTGAAGTATTAATGTTTTCTTAGATTCATTTTCATAATATGTTAGTAGTCTAGACGCTGGAAAACGCACACGCACGTACGCTTACGCGCCCGCACACACACGCAGCTAAAATATTAACATTTCATTTCAGGTGACCGTGTTGAAGGTGTTGGACAAAGAACTTGTCATGGCCGTAAAAACTGGAGTAAAGTAGACGATTTACCGGCAAATCGTCACGTGACGGGGCTCTCCGAGACGAATGATGAGTTACATACAGTCAACATATAATTATCTCATGTATTTATTTCAACATCTCTATTGTTCATATAGAATCACTTTTTCCCTGATTTAGTTTTATGGGCTGGTCGTTTTTTAAATTTGAACCTACCCGTTATATTTTTCGGGTAATGTATAATCATAAAAATATTAAAATTGGCATTGGTACAGCCAGAGACAGTTAAAATATACTCACAAGAGTTGCCGTTCTTAGACTGACTATGTGTCAAAGAACCACAAATCTGGATACAAACTATACTATGATTCAATGCAATTCAATGCAATTTATTTGGACAACTGGTGTGTGTTATATATAATTTACATTTTACAAAAAGCGTGTCCAGTGTTCTAAAGGTTTATATAATCCCGACGTGCAAGTTACTTTAATCTAAGTGAGCACATTCAATTAAATACAAGTAAAAAAATCATGATTTGATGCACACAAGAACTTTGAATTTTTTTTTATGCTTATGAGTAATTTGAAATTGTTTGGATATCATTCCACTTTTCTTGTTTCTGTTGATCTTGAAAAATAACGACTAAACCCATTTTTTATATTGATGTTCACTTCAGGAACATTTTTGATAAAAAATGAATCAGGTAAAAACTTTATGAAAATTTATTTAATTCATTCAGGTGTTAACGAAATAATGGACAAACGAGATGTTGATATTTAATTTATGTTCACGTACTTATCATTTACGGGTGAATAAAAATAATTTATGGTAAAATAAGCTTATCTTACCATAGTAAGGAGGCCCCGGTACGCCATCAAACATTTAGCAAATACGAGTAGTAAACATTGGTTAGATTCGCAAAATATTTATGACAGATATTGGACTATTGCCTCGTGTTTTGAGCAGCTAATTGGGAATCTGATTGGTTACATACATGTATGTTTATCAGCTTAGATAGTTATGTTTATCAGTGATTTGTTAGAAATGTTTATCAGTCGGATATTTTCATGTTCGATTAACCATTGATCATGTTTGAAAATGACTACTAGTATTCTGTAACGTTAAAGGAACTCCACTGAGGTCTAATAGCCTAAAAACATAAAATTTGAAATTTTTCATAAATCAAATGGGGACAATATAATAACGAATATGTAAATATACTCTGTATATTAAATTGATAATCGACTTTTGATGTCATATTTTGGCCGATTTGAGTGAAAAACGTGGCAGCCTTTTTCAATTTTGGTCCATTTTCGCTTTAAAATTCTTAATCTCTGGGAAGCAGAGTGGGCGAAAGATCTGTAATTTTGTACACGAGTTATTTGTCCAAACCTATATATCAAGTTGTACAAAAATATTGAAGAAATATTGTCAAAAACCTCAGTGGAGTCCCTTTAAAGGAAGTTAAAGTTTCCATGTGCGATTGAAAGGGTGATTTTTCTCCGGTTGTGAAATTATTTTCAGCTTTATACTTATACTATTCTGTAATTAATTATTTGCGCATTTTCCGTTCAAACGATTTACGTTTAGTCAAATCAACAATGGAAAAACAACAGCAACAAAACCATTTCCGATTTATATTTCTACTTGTTTTTCAGAAATTGTAATGTCTTTTTTTCTCGGCATTATGTCACTTCAAGTTAGAAGTACAAAAATGTTCTGTACCAAGAGTTACCTTTCATTATTCATGAGTTTTCTAGAGAGTTAAGGGACTTGATTTTGTGCGGAGTTAAATATTTTTCTGTTTTTTTTTGTTTTTTTTTTTAAATGATAATTTAATAAAAAAGCGATGTTTATGTTTCCTAATTTATTAAAAAATATGACCATTTTGTCACACAATGTCGATTATTACTTTTAGTTGTTGTTGTTATTTTTCACTTTTGTAAAAAAATTACATGCAATAAGGAATTTAAACAAATTGAACCCATGTTTTTTTTTAAAGTAATTATGAACGTAGCACATGGAAACTTTAGGTAAAGTTTTTGATGGTTGTTAGGAAGGCTTAGCTAAATGATTTATATGGAGTACCAAAACTGTATGAGATTGTGTTTATGCAAAATCTCATTTTCTTTATTTTTTTATCTATTCATTGTATAACTTTACTATATATTGAGCCCTAGATTACGATGATACGAATTAAAATTCTCTAAAAAAATATGTTTGTATGTTTGAATTTTTCAAAATAAATCTGACAACTTTGAGCGGTTGTCTAGTGGGTAGGGTGTCTGTCTATATAACAACCCATGGATCATAAGTTCGAGCCTTATTCAAATATATACCATGTTTGTTCATTTTACAGCTGTACTTGTAAGTTTCATGCAGGAAATCAAAACACACGAGTTAAAAGTAAAAATTATAAGCTTAAATTTAAGCTTAATATATGAACTAGATTCGTGTGATTCTCGCTTTTGTTTGACATTTACATTTAGTTGTTTAAATTCCCGCAATTTCAATGCGTTTTAACACATTTTTAGATAATTTATCAAAAGGCCTCTCACATACCATTTTTTGAGACATAATGTCCTGTATGTCTTACCCTAATCTACTCAATATACCCTAATATGGGGGTCAACCTAGAATTAATTGCAAACGTTTTAAGTTTGTTTTTCTGAAACTAGTATGTATGACATTTATCCATAAAAAGTCCAGGACTTTTGCAATTACTGAGAATTATAGATATATATTAATTTATCTAATTTGCTACCCACTATAAAGATAGAACGAAGAAATGCTTTGCTAGTTTGAAACCTATTTCGCTCGATACATATTCACCTGAAATGATCACATTCACGGTTAAACTTTCCGGTTATTTCTGTCAAACCTCGAATACAGATCGATAAAGTAGAATAATAAATTCTTATGAAATATAAAATAAAATGTTTTTTCTCTAAAATCATAAATAAAGAAAGACGTGTCAGAAAATTCTTCAACAATAAATCAAATGTCAATGATCTTCCAAAATAGCCTCAAAAAGAATAAAATAAGATAGGAAAAAGATTAAGCAAACAATGTCAAGTTAATATAAAATATTGAGTGCTCTATACGACAGGCTACATTTAAATAAAGTAAACAGCAAGGCTTGTGTTGATGTATGAACGATATAGGTCATGTTGAGGTCATATTTAAATTTCATTAATATTACGATAATAAAGAAAGTGAATAATGCAGATTTATCTTCTTTAAACTGAACTCTCAACGCATAACTAAACTTGACTCTTCAATTATAGATAACTTAACTGAACTCTCAATTGCAATGTATCCAAACTGAACTCTTAGCGTACGAGTATTCTTAAATTGCTTATAACTAAACTGAGCTCTTAACGTATAACTAAACTGAACTCACTAAACTGAACTCTTAACATATAACTAAACTGAATTCTTTAATTACTTATAACTAAACTGAACTCTTAACATTCGTATTCTTAAATACGCGTCACTAAGTTGATCATTTAACGTATAACTTAACTGAACTCTTTATGTATAACAAAATTGTAATTATGTAATGTATGTATGCATGTATGTATGTATGTATGTACGTACGTACGTATTCTAGGCTTAATGAGGGTCTATCTGGCCTTTCAGGCACTGAGATAACGGATCACGGACATGTCACCATTTATGTCCTCAACCAAATAAAAAAGGTGACCTATAAATTTAGAATTCAGTAATTCTCTGAACGATACTAAATATGTATGCAAGTCAATTTTTAGTAATCATGGTAATGTTTATCTACGTGTTTATATAATAAATTATCTAATAGAATAATTTCATTCAACCGTTATTCATATGCACATTTTTACCTTTAAATATTTTGATGGATAATTTTCTGAGATATAAATCTCGTCGATGTTGAAAACGTGGTAGTAATGTACTTAATTGATTAAAAATCAACACAGTTTGAATCAAATAAAAGTTAACAACGAAAACAGTGCATGACACGATAAACACGTGCAATTGCAGTAAAAAATAAACAATCTACGTCAAATTGTTGATTATAGACCTACATTAAAGCAGCATGCTTTCAGATACCTGCAAATTTTCATGAAAATTTTGAAAATGTATTTAAAAGTAAAATATTGTGACAAGGAATATACATATTGCAAATGGCACTTAGAATCCACGTAAATAACCAAAAAGAGGTTTATAGATAAGCAAAAATAGACATTACTGCGTTATTAATGCAAATAATAATAATAAAGATAGTGATTAATATTGCAAAATAAGCCATTTGTCGCACATAACGTGTAAAACATTACTTGTCAAATGAATATTTTTACTCTTCTTAAAATCTTAGTACATTTGTCTCAAGTTTGATTTTCTTGAAATACTTCGGCTCACATGGAGGGATGCAGCTTTAAAGCACGGATGCTATTAAAAAGAATATTTTTTAAAACATAAGTTCGTAGTATAATAATTCGTCAGATGATAATAATTATTATAATCTTTCTTTTTAGGTATGATCGTTGTACCTAAAATCGCACTTTAAATTTGGATGAATACAAATGAAGCGTTTGATCTTTTCAAAGTACACTACTGGCATAAATTCATCAAATTTATTTTTTGACATTGTACAAATATTAAGAAGTCTTATTACATCTGATAATTGTCAGTAGTAATTGATTCACATAGGTCTTAACGTCTATCTTGGTTACAAGCAATTGAATTTTGATTTACAAACAGACACATCGTTGGCTTGCCCATGTTCAATATTTTCATATTGTCGTGCAAATATAAGCGGCCCATGAAAGCGTATGTGCAAATTTATGCAAATCACTATTTTTACAAACGCGGTTCTATGAAGCACTATGAAAAATAGAAGGCGACTATGAACGGAATTTGATATTGAAACGACTTGTGTTCGTCTATGGAAATTAACACAAAATACAGCGTTTTCATTGGATGACAAATAAAGTTGGACACTTATAAGCCTTTGTTAACAAACTGTAAAGATCACCTTGAAAGTATCACAGTAGTACTGCATAACTAATATCTAAGATAATCAAGTTTATGTTCAACTTGCTCTCCAATACGGTAATTTTCTGGTGGCGAGGGTAAACAAACCTCATTGACAACTAAAGGTAGATAAATTGTTTATGAAATTGTCATTTTTTTCCCGCGATTAACTCCCTTACATTCATAAAGCGATTTGTTCAATTCATTGGTATGTACAGTGGCACAAAGGTGACATGTGTGTGTTTTTATTTATCTCGTAATACGAGATACTATGTCGTGGCCACGAGTTACTATGTCGTGGCCACGAGATAGCTAAGTTGTGGGAAAGAGATAGCTAAGTCGTGGCCACGAGTTACTAAGTCGTGGCCGCGAGATAGCTAAGTCGTGGCCACGAGATACTATGTCGAGGCCACGAGATAGCTAAGTCGTGGCCACGAGATAGCTAAGTCGTGGCCACGAAATACTTTGTCGTGGCCACGAGTTACTAAGTCGCGGCCACGAGATAGCTAAGTCGTGGCCACGAGATACTATGTCGTGGTCACGAGTTACTAAGTCGTGGCCACGAGATAGTTAAGGCGAGGCCACGAGATACTAAGTCGTGGCCACGATTTACTAAGTCGTGGGAAAGAGATAGCTAAGTCGTGGCCACGAGATAATTAACCAATCAGAATACACTATATATATTATGATTTTTTTAAACTTAACAACTTACTTTTACATGCAACATTAATCTTTGAAAATACCGAAGGTATTCACTTTGAACTTGTCTTTAGGATCATATGAGAATGTCACTTTCCAAGGCCCATCAGACATTAATTTTGACTATAGCTCTTTGTTTGGACAATTTTGTGATCGACTTAGCTATGTCGTGGCCACGACTTAGTAACTCGTGGCCACGACATAGTATCTCGTGGCCACGACTTGGCTATCTCGTGGCCACGACTTAATAACTCGTGGCCACGACTTAGTAATTCGTGGCCACGACATAGTATCTCGTGGCCACGAGATAAATAAAACACACACATGGCACCTTTGTGTCACCGTAGGTATGTGAGAATTTACTGTTGTTTTTTTCTTATTTTTGTTTGTACTGTAGTAATGTTTCGCAGAAGTTTGAGTTTTGAGTATCATCCGAACTTGTTGTCTAATTTGCTATTTGTTTTATTCATACACAAAAAACTTAGTTGAAATAATCAAAATCATTATAATAAATAGGCATTCTACCATGATTATAAAGAAAAAAAAAGATATGTCTTAAACGGTTTAAAAGTAAAATTTCTTAAAATATTGTTATACATGTATCTTTATATCGAAAGTTCCTTAAGTCTATTAGATTTCTGAATACACCGTCAGCTATTTGGACACAGCTTTTAGACCTGCATGTTTGAATCTTCAAAATGATGGTTACTATCCCAAATATGACCGTTAAAATGAAGCTGATTAGCATGGGTAAACTTGAGTGTTTCTGCCATTAACTGTTGATAACTCCTTTAATATAACACACAACTCACAGTCCTGTCTTATTTGATATATGACGGGTAACTGTTAACTGACATTTTCAATATAGATAACTCTGCTCTGATGTATTATGATCTTCACACGTCCGCCCTTTACGACGTAATGCTCACCATTCAAGCTAAACAAGTACTTGTACATGTAGTCATGTTTTACAGTAAGATGCTTATGGTCCTATATCAAGAACCGTTGTATTCTTGGTATACAGGCGAAATACATATTTAATGAAATATGTCGTGTTTATGGGAACAATGAACTTTCTTTGTCATCTGTCACACGGTGGTGTAAGATTTTTTAAAAGTGGTCTGGATTTAGTAAAAGATGCAACACATGCACGCCGTCCGAAAACTGCAACTTAGCCAAAAATGGTTGAAAAAGTAAAGGATTTGATTACTACTTATGCAAGATTTACAACTAGGTATATATAGCTAAATGCGTTGGTATCTCTGTAGATTCTCAGACGTTATTTAAAATTGAGAAGGATAAGTGCCAGATGGATACCCCATCTCCTTACAAAAGAGCAACAACTTGCTCGGATAAGAATATCCAAACAATTGCTGAAACAGTTCCTAAATACAACAATCGATCTTTCGCAAATATCATCACTGGCGATGAGACGTGGGTGCACTTTTATGAGCCCAAGCGAAAGATACATAACAAAATATGGCCAATCAAAGGAAGTCAAACTTTGCATAACAAAAGGCACCATGAGCGTCAAAATGGTCATGTATGTAATTTTATTTACCAATCAAGGTCCTGATATTCAAATTGCCGTGCCAAAGGGTAAATCTGTAAATGCCAAGTTTTGCAAATACAAGGTCCTTCATTAAAATTAAAGAAATATTTCAAAAACCGTCGACCAGCATCAGGTCTCCGTGGTGTCAGGTTGTGGCATTACAATGCTTCTTCACACAAAGCGGCCATCATACAAGAATATCTGAAACAGGAAAAGGTTGTCGAGCTTCCGAACCTTATTCGCAAGATCTTGCCCCTTGTGACTATGTTCTATTTCCGAGGCTCAAAAAACACCTTGCTGTACGCAAAAATATGACGGTTCGGCTATTTTCCCGTGTCTGAACAGTATACATGGAAAAGATTATGAAAACGCATTTAAAATTTGTATTAAAAGATTAAAACTTTGTATATCACATGGTGGTGAGTATTTTGAAGGATTGAGATGATTTTTTTGGCATGTTTTTTAAGCACTTCTGAAAATTGACCCAGACGATTCATATGTGAACAACCCTCGTATCTTCTTTACTTCAATAACTTATCTCGTATTTCTATCAAATTTCTTATTTTGCATTTAACTTTAAAACAAACAAACAAACAAACAAACAAACAAACAAACAAACAGCAACGATAAATGTCCCATTTGTATTTTAAAATTTTACATAACCTGTGTTTAAACCTTTAACATGTTGTCAATATACAAAGTGGAAATAAACTATATTGACTGTAACTCGATATTCCGGGTAAGTTGAATAGCTAAAGTTACGTATGAACAGATTTGAATAATCAAACAATGTATTTATATTTAACTGCTCTTCAAAACTTAAATATTTGTGATATTTGACAAACAGGAAGAATGGACGAATTTGGTTGAAACTAAAAATAATCATCGATTTCTTTTTTTGTTATGTATTTTGGATTTTAATTTGATAATATATATAAAACCATGGTTATAAGAGGGGTCGTGTTTCCTGTAACTTGCGGAGTCATTCTGCTTGTATTCATATCAGGGTGTGGTAAGTTTTTAAAATTACATATATATAAATAAACTGAGTCTTTAGTACATAATAGAACATAAGAAATAAATACTTTATTATTAAGAACTTGTGACACCATGTACACAACTTTTAAACGTTTATGTTTTTATTCTCCTTTTTTACAATTTAAAGATTAAATGGCAAGAAAGGTATATAGAGGATATTTTCTTCTATGAATACAGGATTCATTTTCATTGAGTGGTATGAAAATAAATATCTCATGAGTGGCAGTAGCCAAGAGTAATATATAATAATTTTCATACCACAAGATGAAAATAAATCCTGTATTAATAGAAAAAACTTGAATTTTCTGTTTATTATATACTTTTTGTCTTTTTTAACTTTATGGATAGGAAAAATTCCTTTTAATTTTGTGTATTGGCTTACTTTAGGCAAGACACCAGTGAAAATACGGAAAATACGTTTCACTGCAGTGAAAATAAATTTCTACAGTGGAAATACGAAAATGAAAATACGCATTTTTCATAAATATTTCTCAATATTTCATTTATAAGAATATAATAAATCAAAATATCATAGCTGGTGTATTTCAATAATGGACTCGTCCTGGTTCCAGTTTTAGAACTGTCTATTATTCATTTTAGAGATATCACGCTGTTATTGAAAGTTGATCAGTTAGCATTATAGAGCCTGGTCAAACTTCATGGATGTATAAGCTGGCCTGGTTTTATAATGGTTGAACAGGTTTATTAGTTTCGGTTCCAGCGGTATTATAAACGTTAAAGCAATTTCATTAAAGTGAATTGGTCTACTTTGGCCTCTTATTTAGATAAATATTTCAAAAGTTGATTACAACAAAAGAAATGAATCATTTGGATATTCTTATGACACATTGATTTGGAAAAATAATGTTGATAGGGTTTTAAGCGATTTAGTATGAACATTTAAATGCTGAAAAATATAACATGTTGTTCTAGAACGATTTATTATTTTCTATATTGTTATATCTGAATATTTTTCTCACACTTAACATCATCTATAAATGATTATATCGCGGTTTGTTGTGAAGTACGATACTAAATACCATCAACATAACGCTGTGGGTTCGAATCCCATTAAGGACTTTGGATTCATTTTATGTGAGGAAACTATCAAGCTGCATGCGGAACGTCGGTGGTTCTTCTCAGGTGTCCGTTCGTGCCTGAAATTATGCTTGGAAGGGCTTATGAGGTCTTCCTCCACCAGTAAAGCTGAAAAGTCTCCATATGACCTATACTGTGTTGACCACCTTAAAAATATAAATAAATAAGAAAATAAAAAAGAAATTGGATCAATTCACTTATGTATAAATGCGACAAGCGAAACAACGGACGATATAAGTCACTCAATAATCTTTCAAACTTAAGTTTCTGTTATAAAACCTACCGTGACATGAATAATTCTCTATAAATTACAGAGTCGGTCAGTATGTTTTTTCTCTTTTAGAGTAATCTCCCTTTTATCAGTTATTTTGCCCCCGGAAGTACTACTATCTATTGCATACGTTTCGTCTAGATGCAGTGCAGAACATTTTTTTTCTTATTTTTTTTACGCAGTTCTTACGCAATTAATAATATCATTTTATTTATTTTTCAGCCGCTATAAAGTGCTATCAATGCAGCGATTCTGGTAACGATGCAAAATCGGACTGTCTGCGAGGAGTTCGCGGTTTAGCCAAGGAGAGGGGGGACTACGAAAAGAACAATAAAACAAATTCTCTGAAGGTACAGCCATAATGTCTTATGTTTATATAGCTAATAATTCTATGCTAGTCTTCCTCCATCATAAAAGCTGTTAAAGAAAATATTATTGGTTAGTTATTTGATATTAAATATACGCATTCCTGGCCCCTCCTGGAACACCCTTTTATATGGTAACGCATAAGTATATATCCAATGTGATTTTTATTTTGGATTATGTCAACAGATAAATTGTAGCCATGACAGGAAATGGTCACGGTTTTACACAAGTTTCAAATATTTGATTTTGTTATTGTTTGTGTATAAAATAGTTAAAAAGAGACCAAACTATACTGCAACTAAATCTAAATTAATAAAGATAGATACAAGAACCCGTAAAGGCATGTCACTAGATCCATTATTTGATCTAGAATAACCAATTATAATTAGACTATAACTTTGTACTTTGATTTAATACACGTATATTTTACTTTTATTACAGAAATACCCTTACTTAAAAGAATGTGAGCATTATAGGAGACCTACGACCGGCCAACAATTGTACGAGTTCTGCAAAATAGAGATTATCACCTCACAAGGTTAGTGTTTGATATGCTTAGATCTAACATAGGTTTTCTGCCTATTGATTCAGGTAATGTTTACTTGTGTATGATTTAAATTGACTTCTATTTTACTTACATTTGTATAATAAGTATTTGATAGTTTCAAAGTGTACCGACGATGTTAAAATAACTTCTGGTCCAACCATTTTATATATTACATAGAAATATTTATATTTGTGCCATAAAATAATATTTTACTACAATAGATTTCATAGTCTAGATTTGCGTCTCTCTACCACTAATCAACTATTATAGTCACACAATTTTTACAATTTTAGGTAGCGTTAATGCGTTTATTAGAGACTGTAGTGACGGTACAGACTTTTCCGCAGATCTTAATCTGACAAGGTTGAGCTTTCAGAGGAAATATTTAAGACCCGACAACCAGTCTACTTGTGGATACAGTCATCGTCATCTGGCTAACATATGTGTACAACTCTGTGATACCGACTTTTGTAACGGCCCTACAGCCGGACAGACTTTAGTGCATGCTAACCATCTTTTTATTTTTATTTTAACAGCGCTCATTGTGCACTCTCTGAAACTGTTATAAAAAATCAAATCTATTTTGTTTAATGTAAATCATTTTAATGAAACCATTATATGATCGTGTGTGTGAAGGAATAGTCAGATTTTGTTGGAAATGAAATATATAACGTGTTATGTGAATTTTTTTTCTCATAAGCTTTTAATGTACTTACAAATAATTTTCAAAATACATGTTGTATGCTTTTTGGATGTCTTTAAATAATAAAACTCTGGTTTTACCAGAAATCATCAAACAATTTCAGTATTGTTTTATAGGAATGTTTACAAAATACTTTTGGCATAGCTAGATTGCTAGAATTGATTTTTTAGTCTGAATAGACAATGTATTGTGTGTTTATGAAACAAGATATAGTTGATGTGAAATGAACACCCATATATTTATAAATTAATATACCATGTTAATGAAAGGTCCTCGATAGAATCAAGACTGGTGGGTTCTAAGACGACTTCCATAACAGAAAACCATAATGTTCGTCTTGTCCAGTCCATACCAGAATCTTTACAAAATATGTCTATTCTATATATAATTTGACGGCAGTTTTCGCGCACTAAACAATAACGTTCTTAAACGTAAGACAAATAATGTCTTGTATATATAGGTTGTAGGTACTCCAGTTTTATATGAGTCGCGGTTACCTTGTGAACTTATCAGTAACAAGGTAAAATCATTTAGTAATGCATCAAATACTGATTTATTACACGATTTGATTCCGACTAACACAAACTAAGACTCTACATGGTCTGTAATAAATGCAAGATGCAATATCGTTCCTATAGTATTTGCAAAACGCTCTTTTAGAGTTTGAAATTATTATTTTATCCATTAGAATTGCAGTATTTCAAATGAATCATACCATATGTTAACTTTGGTGAAAAGGCTAAATTTAATATGGCTAGTAAATCAACAGGGAGTGTTCTATTAAATAATTTCAAACACTAAATTGGTTAGTGTTTATAAGTAATCATTTACATGTACTACTTTAAATCGGCATACTGCCAATTTAATATTGGACATGATATAATATTGCACATTTTAAAATAGGACGAAATTTAGTTTATTATATACTTATAAATGTAATATTAGAAAATATTGATGAAATAAAATGCGTATTTTTATTTTCTGTATTTTCACTGCATCAAAATATTTTTTTTTTACTGCAGTATAACATATTTTCCGTATATTCACTGGTATCTTGACGGACTTATTTCTTCTAAATTAAGTCAATATTCAAATTGTAAGGGGAAGTCTTTCAAATTGTAATGTTGAAATAACGAAAAAAAAACACAAAAAAACGTTCTGTATAAACAGAATATCCAAGTTCTTTTCTATAAATACAGGATTCATTTTAATCTTTGGTGTAAAATTATCATATTTCACTCGTGGAAACCGTCACTTATGACATGAGCCGCGTCATGACAAAACCAACATAATGTGTTTGCGATCAGCATGGATCCAGATCAGCCTGCGCAATGCGCAGTCTGATCAGGAGCCATGCTGTTCGCTATCAGTTTCTCTACTTGTAATAGGGTTTGTAAGCAACCAGCATGAATCCTGATCAGACTGCGCGGATGCGCCCATGCTGGCCTGGATCCATGCTGGTCGAAAACCCATTATGTTGTTTTTTTCGTGACGCGGCTCATTTCATAAGTGGTCAACAATATGTTACATTCATTCTTATTAATCTTATATAAGATAAAAATGTATACCAAAGATTTACGGAATATTTAGAAATATGAATATATATTACAGAAAAATAATCTATGTGAATTTATATTGTATATAAAAATAAATACCGGTATATCCAGAAATATTTTGATTTTAATTTAGCAAAACAAAAAGCATATTATAATGTTTGAAAAATATTGACTTTAAAGTTGATTACGACTAACCAGTACCGAGGGAAAAGGTACGGAATACCGGTCGGGTCATGTTTTGAATAAAAACATCGGAAAATGTGAGGAATTGTTACACCTAACGTCACAGGCAGTTATATATCTGAAAAAGCATACTTCGGCTATATCATGCTATTAAATGTATTCAAATACCAAATGAACGCATACAAACACGTGTTTGAACGCTTTTACACTTAGACACATATTAAAATCAACATCATTTTTGTAATTTTCGGCATACTACCATGGACAGTAATTTCACTGAGTGTGAAAGATTAAGAATGTAGTTTTTATTTTATTAAGATGAATAGTAATTTATTTACTTTAAGTAATTTAGGACAAACACGGGTAAGTTAATTATTGCTTTATGCTACACTTATGTTACTTTAAAGTTGTAGCAATTTTCATGTGTTTAATGACGTGTAAGACTTTAAGAATACTTATGCGTGGGCTGTAATAGCACAAACATTGTAATATAAAACATGTTTATTTAATTTCAAATTTTACACCTTTTTGACTCCCAGAAACACATTCAATACATGTACAAAATAAATATCATTTGAATAAAAACAGTACGTAGATGAAAACACATAGTCGGGACGAAATACATATTGAAAGAAGCAAAAGTTAATTTCTGACTTGAGAATAAAACAAAATTCTGACAAAAGATAATAAAGGCACGACATTGAAGTTTATACACGAAATACTAGTGCAATTCTACACAAATCGGAAATTTTCCCATAAACAGACATACATGTACGTACATATATACGACGTCCTACGATAAGACATAGCTATTACAAATTACTCCCCCGTATATTTACAAAGGCTTATTTTTTTCTTTTTACTTACGTCCATGATGTGACGTAATTTTGGTGCCAATATAAGCAAAGAAGAAATTACATGCTTTTGTATTTATGATAACATAATGTTGCTTTGAACTGATATCAGTTATTAGAATAAGACTTTTTAGCTCGAAGAAAAATAAAAACAGAAACACCCATGTTAGGCCTATTTAACGTAGTGGTTCTTTTGATTATCATTTCTTGGATACTGAATAGCATCAAACTAACAATAAATCATGCAGATTAATCGCACATATACTATTTTACTAAGTAAAAAGAAATATTATGTAAAGAATAAGTTCTTTTTTTATGAAAATGCTACTTTAAGAGCAACCATCAGTAGACCGAACGATACATGTAGAGTTGACGCAGATCCTATAGCAGGGCCGTTACAAAAGTTCCCGTACCCGAACTGATCTCCGTAAATGGAATTATCACCGGCACATATAGTCACACATGCAAGATAACCCTGTCCCGTGTATTTACATGTTGTCTGATTGTCTGGTTGTATCAATGCCTCACTAAACTGTGCATCTATTTCCGAACTGAAGAAAGTTGTCCCGTCGCTACAGTCGCGAATAAAACTTTTGACCGCCTCTGAAAAAATCAAACAAATATTAAGGTATTTTGGCTTGTAAACAATCTGCCGTGTATTTCCGTTTGAAGATGAAGTAAACAAACTTAACAAAATTAATTAATATAATAAGAGTTAAACAAAAGGATAATTGATATTTTAAGCATCGAATTCATAACGGTCTTCAATATATGACAAAGCGGGGAATCTGTTTTTATATCAGACACATATATAATTTCTACAAAAAGTTAATGCCTAGTATAAATTTTTTTTTTTTAAATAGATATAGATGTTTTATTGTAGAGGAAATTTTGTTTTGATTAAAAAAGCAGCAGAAACTTTGGAGGAGTATCTATAGAAGTATATATCTATCAATATATCTGATTTAATACAAATGATATGATATAAGGCATAAGACATAATTATTACTTCTTTCCTCCACTGATGCAATCATACAGTATTTCGGTTTGTCCGGCTCGCCCGTAGTCCGAACAATTCTTTACATATTTATCCGTTTTAAAGGAACCAGTTTCATTGGCCTTCTTCCCATAGTATCTCATAGTCCTGTAGTAGGTCTGACATTTGTTCTTGCCTTCCTCATTACTCGTGTCATGGCAGAAATAACACAACAGACCCGCTGAAAACAAACAAATAATAAGTTCAGATTTTAAAAAAATATGTAATTTATTGCAAGAGTATCATATAAATGACAAGTACATGGACAATCATGAAGGAAAACAAACCCCATTGTAATACAATTTTGATACAGACATAGCACTAAGGATTCATTGAAACGTTTCTTATCAACAATCTCATCAAATTCAACCCGCGACAAAATGTTAAGGATATATACAGGGCACGTGAAATGTTCTATGATTCAGACATTGGCCTGAATAAATATGTGAAGGCATTTTATTTGTTATCAAAGAAACAACAACAACAACAGCAGCAGCAGCAGCAAATAGTAAACAATAATAATAAAATAATAGCATAAGCAATAATAAAAAAATAATAATAAAAAAAACAACAACAAATAACAATCCCCAAAATAATCCCCCACATAAATAATAAAACAAACAACAACAACAAACAACAAAACAAACAACAACAAACAACACAACAACAACAACAAACAACAACATTACATTTGATCCCCAGTTACGACGCTGACGTTTATGAAAAATATTTAGGTGCGTTCGGACATTTTTTCATAGAAGTAATTTAATGACGTCTTATAAATCGTTGTTTTTTCCACATCACAAGACAATATCATTTTTATACTTATTTCATTAATGTCAGTTACACTCGTATTGTTTTACAATAATACACGTATTATAAAGTCTACATTTATTTTTTATTTAGTATCGTACTACAGTAAGACAAAACAAAAACTGCGATAAAGTAAATTAAAAGGACGGACAAAGCCTGATATTCGGTTGAATTGCGACGAAATTTCCCTCTAACTGACATACGTATTGTTTTGAAAATCTTATTTGAAGACTTAAAATATAATACAATTTTACATGAAGCCACTTTCTGTTCCCATACGAGAGTTACACACAGCCATATACATTTATTGTTAATGATCCCAATATCAAAATTATCACCATGAAAGAATATAACGAAATAATAGAAACGCCGATTACTTACCAATATGTTGTACAATAGATAAAATTAAAATCAGCCTTAAAATCATTGTTCTATATTTCATCATTTTACTTTAGATAAAATAATTTTAGCACTTCCGTTGGTTGTCCGCCATTATATCAAACTACGTCAATTTTAAAGCTTAAATTTGTTCAAACAGTCTTAAATTCATTGTATATTCAATATTGCATATTATATTTCACAGTCGCATA